TGTGTGGTGTGTGTGTGTGGTGTGTGTGTGTGGTGTGTGTGTGTGGTGTGTGTGTGTGGTGTGTGTGTGTGGTGTGTGTGTGTGGTGTGTGTGTGTGGTGTGTGTGTGTGGTGTGTGTGTGTGGTGTGTGTGTGGTGTGTGTGTGGTGTGTGTGTGGTGTGTGTGTAAATAACACGAAAACCTGGGTCACCTCTAATATAGACAGCATGAAGCTTTTTAGATTAGGAGCTCTCATCTTGAATAGGGACTACCATTTTGGTTGCCCATAATGCTTTAGTTAGCCCAAGTAGAACACAAGAGTGTGTGCAGCTATGGCTCTTACCAGACACTCCGAGTGGAACTTTTTCTTGCAAGTCCGGCAGGCTTTCTTTGGCAGAGAGTAATTGGAACCATGAATCACAGAGAAGCAGATCATACAATCTTCAACACCTTCAAACCTCTTGTCCACGTTGTTCTTCCAGAGAGCCAGACCCTCCATTATACTTCCGTTCTAGGGGAATCACAGTGTCAAAAGCAGAAACTCTTGTAAATAGGCAATTCTCTTCTATAAGTAGAACATGCTTAAACACTTCGCCTCCAGAGCAATTTATTATAATAGTTTTTTTAGGTATTTTCCAGCCCAAAATTCAGATCTTAACATTTGAGCAACAAATTAAAGCGACACTAAACTCAGGAGTTGAAGCTCACTCCTGTGATGGACTACAACCTCATGTTTAGTTTACTAATTTGTATTGAGATTGTAGTCCATCACAGGAGTGAGCTTGGAGCTGTGACTACTGTACAACACACACAGGGACCATGGGGAATAAAAGTATCCACCCTCCAGAAGGAAGGACAGTGTCAGCATGAATTCAGAGATGATTTGAGGTTCTACAGCTACAGAGTGATACACAAATAAGATACATTTTTGTTAAAAGTTAAGGAACTTGAATGCATTTTTAAGATTTAACAGGAGACAGGCTGGAGGGAGCACTATAACAGCCAGGCAGCTCAGAGGATCTGGTGAGTATAACTGTTATTTTACACCCTCGACGAAAAGGAGCAGTTAACCCTTGCAGTGCGGTGGTAGCCTCACTGCAAGGGTTAAAAATACATATTTCCTGGAGTTCTTCTTTAAGGAATTGGGAAGAAAACAGAAAAAAAATCAAAAGTAAAAGGCTGGACAGAAGACAGGCAGGAAGGAAATAAATGAGATACAGATGGTATATATTCATAGCGACACTTCATCTACTGGCCACATCTTGATATTAATCTGATCAATACACTTCTGTATCATCATTTATAAAAATCAAGAGCAAATGGCATGAATAGCTTTTTTTTTTTTAACCTACCTGGTGCGTAAGGTAAGTGTTCAGCTGCAGCATCCAATTCCGCCACTGCTGTACCGCCACGCCTACCCGCCGGCCACTTTCTACAGTGATGGAGCCCAGGGGGTAGTTCTGTGGCAGCTGGATAATGAGCTCTATGCAGATGTCATCAACAGAATAAGTGGCTATTACTTCCCGGGTAGTAGGACGGGCCTTCACCTTAAATAGAAGAGGTCCAGGGTTACAGCTTAAAAAAAACAAAAAAACGCACAAGTAAACTTTCTTTTTTTTTTGCATATTTAAGCAAAAATTTTTTTGCAAAATTAAGAAGATTTCAGGAGTCTTACTTAAGCTGCCCATACACCTTACGCTTGCAATCGCTTTTTTTGTCCAATATTCGTAAGGTTGATGGGCAGTGTACAACCGAAAATACTGTACAAATCGTACGACGTTCATCTTTCCAGCATGCTAGAAAACTTCGGTCGATCGTACAAAATTGACTCCAAGAATTCTACGGGTTTGTCAGACAAAAAAATGAAGGTAAGCTTGTGTATTTAACTTTAAAGCTCTTACGTTTGTTCATGGTGCAAAATTACCATGAAATGATCTCTTCATTCTAAATGGGAGATTAAAATAATGGGGGGGAAAAAAATAGGATAATCGTGTTCTGCTGGCTTTGACTTTTCTCTACACTGGTACACAAGGTAAGAAATATACAGGCAAACAATACACAAATAGCTGCAATTAAGAAGACTTTTGCAACTTTCCTTTAACAGATCAAGGCAAAAATCAAGCAAATGTATAAATATAACTTCTCACAATTTATCTGTCCACTGCTATCCTCTAAATCAAATAAACCCAAAATCAAAAAAGGTCATATATGTCAGATTAGAGGAGTTGGCTGCATTCGTTTTCATTTTTAAAGGCCAAGGAAATGTTCAGCAAGTACAGAAAATACCTGATGATCTTTCGAGAAATGGCGAGTCTTTGTTACTTCTGTGCACAAAACTGGCAACACAATCGGTGTTTGCCTTTATTCTTGTCTGTTACATTACGGATGGAGAGATCAGTAGTTGTTTATACAAGAAGGACGACATGCTTGATGTCCAGCCTCGGTGAAAATCATGACCCCCTCTATACAGTGAAGGAGTGAGCGTAGCCACCCAGAGATAGGAATTATGTTATTTGCAGGATTACCAGGTAACAATAAAAAAGAGGAAAATCCAGAAAAAACAATGCAGCTCCCTCATCTAAGGCCTAGTAAGCTGCATTGTATTATGTATTGTGGTTTTTGGGTTCAGATATGCTTTAAGTGCTGTAATTGGCTAATCAAGGGTCCTGCCAGCTGAAATTTTCATCTATGTGATGATCATGTCATCTGTGGGCACAGGACTTCCTGCGCATAGAGCTCAATGGAGCAGTGCATCTGATGCATCCCTTTGAGTGAGCTCCCTTGGCTAGCGAGTGGGTGCTGATTATGCCTTTTTAAATATCAAAAACATATCCTGTCTGTCTTCCCTGATTAACCCTTCGCTCATGACACAGAATCCACCAGGCTTGAGTAAAAACAACGGTTCATTTATATGAAGGTGTACCACAAAGAAATAACCCAACTTACCGTCATGCCATCAAAGACTTGGGTACTGGACTGTACAGAGGATATTTCCTGGGATGACAGCACTCCACTGACATACTTTGTAGTGAATTTGTCCACCACGCTGAAAATCCTTTTCTCACAACCATTCCACCATAGACGGACCATGGCAGGCAAATCCTTCAGTGTGATGTGATAAACGCTACAGGCCAGATGAGGGATCTCCCATTGAAGAATGGATAAGTCTAGGAAAACAATAATACATTGGTCAGCTCTCTCAATGCATATACTGTCTAGCCAAGTGGTTCTCAACCTGTGTAACTTCAGTTCACTACATTTTTCCTTGGTCATTAAGTCGCAACCCAAGTCACACTGCAATAGAACGCACAGCATTGCGTTACCGCACGTTCCGCTGCGGGCGATCGAACTGCGTTCGGATTGGCATTCAAAAGATCCACCCAGTCTCCCCTACCTTACGAGGACTGGAGTGGATCTCAGCCTGGGGTCAAGTGTGGGCTGTTGTGCTGTAATGGAGCTCCATCCATATGTGCATTGTTTCTACAGCTCCCTTGCACACCTTGTAGAGGTGCAAGGAGCCAGAAATGTGGCACCACTCAGGCCCAGGCAACTCTACAGGGCACACGAGGGAGTTATACATATGGATGGCGCTCCCTCATAGCCATAGCTCCAGCGCATCCCACCTCAAGCTGGCACTCGGCATGGGGCAGCATATTTTGAATGGCTGCTTGGCCCGAGAACGGACATTGCTGCCCTGGGGTGGGTGGGGGCAAGCTGGGGAGTCTCTCACCTAGAAAAGTGGAAGGCACACGGTGACCCACTAAACATGGGTCCCGAACCACCAGTTGAGAACCAAGGGTCTAGCCCTTTATGCTACTGGTCTCCATGCATGAAGAATCCTCAGTAGTGACCCAATCAAAATTTAGCATTGTTCACCTCAGTGGCCAGGCCAATGAAGACAGACTAGCCCATACCATAAAAGCTTCACTAATAACAAATTTAAGATCAACAAAGGTAAACATTTGGGTGCATGGGTGTTCGTGTGCTTGTCCAAGATCCAATGACCAGTCAATGTCAAAATGGTTAAGACTGACATAGCTGGGCTATGAAATAACACCCGGTTTGATTAAGCTCTCTTTTGCAGTGGAACACAGGACACCAATATAAAGACAGATTTTGGTTGGAGAGTAGGAAAAAGTTACGATGCAGCGTAGGGAAGGGTTCGATGTACAGTAAGGAAGGGTAGATGCAGAGTAAGGAAGGGTTAGATCACATACTGTATATCAATTACGAGACACATGGGCCAGAAACGGCCCACCACAAGATTTTATTAGGCCCACCAGTCCTGAGCTTTGTACCACAACAAGCAAGGTTATTTATTTTGTCTAGCCTGCGCCCAGGCAGAAAAAACTTGGAGCGATAATTCAGCCGGCCGCCCTCTGAGGACCTCGCACCACTCTACTCAGCAGCAGGTTTCTCCTCACCTCTCCCTCTGGTCTGGGCGACTCCAGTAAGTCCTACTGCATGTATCTGGGACTGTGTGTGAGGGCACTACAAGTGTCAGCAGTCCCTGTCCATTTAATGGACAGGGACTGCTGATACTTGTAGAGCCCTCACACACAGTATTTTCATAAAATGGACAGGGACTGCTGACATTTGTAGTGCCCTCACACACAGGACACCAGAACTGACATATAATGATCAGTAGGCCCGAGCATTGTAATGTAGGAAGAAGAAAGGTTAATTTTTATTTTTTTATTCATGATCCTCAGCATGGCCCTTAGTGAATTTGGATTCGACATCCCTGGGTTAGATGGGATGCAGCGGAAGGAAGGGTTAGATGGAATGAAGCGGAGGGAAGGGTAAGATGCAGAGTAGGGAAGGGTAAGATGCAGAGTAGGGAAGGGTAAGATGCAAAATAGGGAAGGGTTAGATGCAGAGTAGGGAAGGGTTAGATGCAGAGGAGTAGGGCTGTAACAACTAATCGACATAATCGATTATTATCGATTATTGAAAAAGTTGTCAACTTTTTCAATAATCGATGAATGCAGCGGAGGGAAGGGTTAGATGGAATGAAGCGGAGGGAAGGGTAAGATGCAGAGTAGGGAAGGGTAAGATGCAGAGGAGGGAAGGGTAAGATGCAGAGTAGGGGAGTCACTAGGAAAGGAGGGTACATACAGCAGTAAATACCACACAGAGATTCCAATCCTCACCACTCCACTAAAAGGGGATATTTTTGTGGTCTTTGTCCCCATTGGGGAGATCACTTGCTGCCTCACTCACCCAATGTCAACAGGACAGGAAGTGAAAATAAATCATTCCAATGGAGACACACATAGCAAGGGCTTTGCTGTGCAGAAACTGCAAGAGGCTGGTATTTATATAAATTCAGGTACTTACACTGGTTGCATCTGAAAACACATTTAATGATGTATTATAATGAACACAACGCTGAATTAAATTTACGGTATGTCTTTTTTTTTAATCTGCCCGTAGTTCATCTTTCACAATGATTTGGTAAACAGGCGCAAACGTCAAGATTCAGCTTTATCAAGTGATGCAAACAAGATCCTGTCCTGGGAATTTCCCATCACGGTAAACTCTTTTTACCGAATCTACCTCTGATCTCCCATCTAGACCGCACTTCATCACATTTACTTCTCACGTCACATTTGTGGAACTGTCTGGACACGCGTTGTCATGATTCCAGCTCCTAGCATTAGGACATTTTCCCATTAAAGCAAACGAGAATCTGATGATTACTTCTTGGCTGATAACTGCCTCGCTATCAACGTCTTCACGTTGGCTCAGCAATGACATGTATTTGGACAGAAAAAGAAGAGCAACACCATTGAGTTCAATTCTAAATAAACACAATCAGTAACATCTGACGATTTACATAAATATCTGTCCGCGGGTTAAACTATAATCATCTCACTAACGTAATGGTGACATTTGTGGCGAGGATTCAGTACCCTAAGCATTGTTGGAGAACATTTTCCTGGGTCTGAGCCCTTAAAGCTGAACTTGTCAAGGCTAACACACAGATACTTATATGTGGTATGCACTTTGTATATTAACTTTGTTGACATACAGTCAAAGAGTAAAAAAAAGTACATTAAAGTACCTTTTTGTGCATTTTTTTTTTTAAGTGCTCACATGACTGCTTCCTCCCTCCTCTAATGGATGCAGACAGCAGCGGGAGGGGCTCCATAAGCCTAAATGAACCATGTTCTATCTGAGCCACATAGAAATGGTGGAAGGAGTAGCCAGAGCGCCCTTCCTGGGCCAATCCACAATGACAAACAGGAAATCAGCCTTGAAAGATGCAGTAGCTGAAAGATGAACTTGCACAGCCCGGACCACATATAAACAGTGAATGGACATTCCACCAAGGACAGGATCCGCTCTCTCTTGCCGCAGCAAGGCTTTTGACAGTTTATGTACGCCACCGCTGTGACATTGACTGGATCCGAATCAGATAGCCCACCAACAGGTTGGTCCAACACCGAAGAGACAGCCAAATTGCCCCAAGTTCCAAAGATGCTGATTTGGGAGGCAAGATTCATCTGTCAATCATGTACCTGCACCGACAAGATGCCCAGGACTCCCCCCAGCCCGGCTGGTGTCTGTCATCCGGATTTGTAAGCAATCAGGAGGAAATTACTTCCGACTCCAGCCTGGTCCTCAGCGTTAACCAAATCGGTTTGTTGAGACAGAACCAACTTTTCCCATGATGACAGGATGTTGCACTGCAATGGTCTGGAGTGGAATTAGGCAAAGAAGACCACCACAAAGAAGGCTAAAAACAGCCCTACGACCCACGTGCAGAGGTGGACAGCTGCTGCATTGAAGAGCCCAGATCTAAGAGCAGGGGTGGGGAACCTCTGGCCTTCCAGCTGTGGTGAAGCTAAAAATCCCATGAGGCATTGCAAGAATCTCACAGCCACAACTCCCGGAGACAGATGCATCATGGGATTTGTAGTTTCACCACAGCTGGAGGGCCGGAGATTCCCCACCCCAGGCTTAGTGTCTGAAGAGTTTGAAGTTAACATGGGCAAGCCTGATTTATGATCCCAGTGGAAGCTTTTTATTCCACTTGAACTGCTGCAGCTACTGGTGTTGCAGTGTGGGGGTGATCATCAGACCTCATCATTGCCACACACCCCACCTTGGCTGTCTGGCAGGGATGGTTTGATCAAAATGTGAACCGAGCAGGTTGCCTGGAGTTCACTCTCAATTACCAATGCGGTTTTGTGACATTGAATCATTGGAACAATAAATATTAGAAAAGGTATGTTCCTGCAATATGACCTCAACTCACCTTTTACATTTAAGGTTAATTCCTCAGTGAAGAATGTCTTTGGGTCTTTACAAGAAGCGTCGCTTGATTGTCCAGGAAGAACAGGCGTATGAGGCATGAGCTTGAACAGGTTGTAAAGCAGTTTATTTAAGCTCTTGGTCTTCCGCAGATACTGTGAGTAGAGTGCGCGAAGCTGGAAAGGGAAAGACAATGCATATCACACAACTGACCACCATTACCACCCCCCAAGGCAACATGTAACATTAAAAATATGATAACCATTATTAGGAATGCTGTTATGTATTCACAAAAAAATACAAGATTGGTAAATGCAACTAACTACGTTCACATTATACATGCAAACTACATTGCAATAGGGCCCTTTCCGGACATCAAAACAAACCTTCTAGGACGTGCCTTGTGCTCACTTCTAAGAGCCACTCCTATTAGTCTCTACACCCTCCCTAAGGCCATTTCACTATGCAGGCATTATTTTGGACAGTCCCATCTGGGTGCTAGGGTTTCTGCACTCACTCCATGACACACAGGGGACAGAGCAGTATAAAACCGTCAGACTTTTTTTCAATAATCAGTACAAGATCACAAGGGACAGAGCAGTCTCCAGGAGCTGTTCATCTACTAGCTTGGAGAAGGGAGGAGAGAGGAAAGGAGAGCAGGGGGGAGGAGAGTGGGTTGCCTTGCTGTGTGTGTGTGTTTGTGGAGAAACACACAGCTTACTGGCAGACACAAGGGTGACACCATAGGACCCTGCAAGCGAAAGCAGCCACCTTAAAACAGGATATCAGGACCAATGTTCAGGGGACCAGCCGATTCTGCAGGAAACCAAAAACTTTTAAGCATCAAGGAGCAGCATCCACTGTAAGTGATTTAATTAGAATTTGAAATGGCTTAAACATTTTTGACTTTAATACCACTTTAATTACAGCAGAGAGTCAATATTGCTATCCCAAATCTCCATACTTCATCGTACACGCCACAGCCTTCATTTTACAGCCGTTATAAAATGCAGCCTGTGGCATAGAGCCTGAAGCACATCATGGAGTTCTTTCTGCTTATGGCAATCACACTTTCAGTCTATGTGCACTCCAGCCATCAATGGGGTGCATGAAGTCAGGAAGTGGCAGCAAATATGATGCAGGAGACTAGTAGTGCCAATATGCAAACCGAATGTTATTGATTTATGGTTCAGATCTACTTTAAATATCTCAGGAGCAAAAGAATAAAGCCAGTGAAGCTCTAGCCCAATGGGGGACTATACAATGCAGAGTGATTGAGTAACTATAATATATTGGAAGGACATATTTTGATACAAAGTGACAAGGATTGTTTAGATAGGCCCTCATACTAAACAGTTTTAGCACATCTAAAAAGAAGATTGTGCAACTGTAAAATCAAAACTTGTATGGCCAGCATCAAGTTTACATTTTCTGTTGGCCTTTAAAAGGATAATTAAAGCCTCCGTTTGTTTTGCATATACAGGTGAAACTCGAATAATTAGAATATCGTGCAAAGTTCATTTATTTCACTAATGCAACTTAAAAGGTGAAACTAATATATGAGATAGACTCATTACATGCAAAGCAAGATAATTCAAACCGTGATTTGTCATAATTGTGATGATTATGGCTTACAGCTCATGAAAACCCCAAGAGCCCCAAATCCACAACCTCAAAAAAGTAGATTACATGCAATCAATAAAACAAGGATTGTACATAGAACAATATCGGACCTCTGAAAAGTACGAGCATGCATATGTACTCAGTACTTGGTTTGGGCCCCTTTTGCAGCACTTACTGAAATTACTTTTGCACGATATTCTAATTATTCGAGTTTCACCTGTATATAAGGCTAGCAAGCAGTACATATATGCAAAAAAGTGTAATAAAAAAAAAATGCTTTGAAAAGGGTTAAAACTTACCTGTGTCTTCCCCGCACGCTCCCGTCCGAAAATGTGAAAATTCTCGGGCGGCTGCAAAGGATCTTATTGTGGGCGCATGCGCAGATCACATTTTCGTCCAGGAGACAAGGAGAGACACAAGGTAAGTATATGGATGAGTGCACCCTCATGCAGACACCGTGGGACAGGAAGTGCCAGCAAGGACAGAGGAGTCCGCACTGGATCGCTGGATCGGAGACCCCTATGTGATAACAATAAAGTTATGTGTTAAAAAAAAAAAAATGCTCACAAAATAAATACAAATTTACACACCCAAAACAAAAACCCACACAATTTTTTAAAAGTCCCCCACCCCCACATAGATGCGCAAAAATGCGTTACATGCGCCTACACGCAAAAACGGCGATTTCTCCAATTAAGCTGCACGTATTACATATCGCCGCGAACGTCGCAATGGGAGCAATAATTTTAGGGCCATCAATCACTGATCACACTAAACCGATGAGCGGTAAAATCTTTTAAAGCGTCGCCTATGGCAAATTTTGGCTATGGGGTTTTTTTGCGATTTCGCGGGCGTGCACAATTTTAAGGCTTGAAATGTTTGGTGTCTATTTACCCGACGTGACCCCGCCTTTTATAATTTACCAAAAAATTGGGTAAAAATAATTGTTTTATAAAATAATAAAGGGAAAACCATTTTTAAAAAAAATATTTGGTACTTTTTTTGTTATATAAAAAAAAATAAAACCCCCAGTGATGATTAAATGCCACCAAAAGAAAGCTCTATATGTCCACAAAAAAATGGTATGAAATGTATTTCAGTACAGCGTTGCATGACGGAATAAATGTCAAAGTACCGCAGCGCTGAATACTGAAAAATGGCATGGATAGGGAGGGGGGGGGTGTAAACACCTGGTCAGCAGGTGGTTAATATCCTAGTAACACAAAGCTGCAATATTCCTTAGTAGATATTCTAACAATCAGAATAATGTATGCTTACGGCTTGAATCCGATAGCAGAACACAAACCGGTGTCTGATTTAGGATACCCAGAAAATGGTTGTAATGATGAAAAGCTAAATCGAGACATGAAAAATAACATACTTGAGATGATGCCGCCTTAAAGAACGTTAGTATAAGTTTCCACGTCAGGAGATAACCCAGAACAAAGCAGAACTCTTCCTTTAACGGCTGGATTGCAGCAAACTCTCCCACTGGAATTCCTCGTAGAAGATTTTCTATTAAATCCTCCTGGACAGCCAGGACGGACATGAGAGCCGCAGGTGGAGACCTACAAAACAAGCATGAGGAGAGTAAGCCGAGAGAAGGGCTGATAATTACTATAGACCTCAAATAAAACCAATAGAAGAGAAGGTGGAGATGTTACCATAAGAAACATGAAAGACAGTTAACCTGCAGTGATAGTCTCTTCTCCTCTAAACCCACATGTTCAGGCATCAGACAGTAACAAGATGGCCACTCTCTAAAGTGTACCTAAAAACGTAACGTTTATTGTCTGTGAAGGTTCTTATTCATCCAGGTCATGGTATATCTGTAAAAAAATAAGTCAAGGCAACTGGACTTGTTTCTTGAAGACGTTTCACTGGTCATCTAACCAGCTTTCTCAATTCAGAATGACTTGTACAAAAAATTATCTGGGAATAAATATGATGAATGTCGCTTTTAATGACTCCTTCCTATCCATAATCTGTAGATTAACAATGCCCTGTGCATAATGGTAATCCACATTGTAACTAGAAGCCAGCAGCAGTGCAGGCTTCTAGTGCTGAGAACACGCTCACTGGTATTTGACTAATGTTCGCAAACCACTCTGATTACCAAGCACATGACCACTATGACTGCCAAACATAGCGATCACATGGGTTTGTTTATAAAAACAAACAAACCTCCAGATGAGCCATCATTGTGCCCAGCAGTAGCTACTCTAGATAGTCCATCATGCGATGGGCAAGTACCATCAGCATTGTTTCAGACCAGGAAGGGTACCGAACAGTGTAGATGGAGGATACAGCTATAAGAATAGGGTAGGATAAGATGCCCACAACTCTTCTGCTATTGGAAGGAGGTTGTATCTTCTATTTATATTGTATGGCATGTCAATTATTTGTAGATCCCATGATTTGTTTACTGAATCTTATTAAAGAGGACACTTATACTAAGGAGACCTTCGCTTCAATCATAAGGCTTCTTTTTGTTGCAAGAACATTAATAGCTTTAAATTTGTCATCACCCAACCCTCCTAGCGAGTGGCATGCTCAAGTCTATTCGCTATTACCGAAAGAAAAATTGGTGTATCAACATAGGGGCTGTCCCAAAGTTTTTTAAATGATGTGATGCATGGCTCTCTACTCCTGTACCTGTACCTAGGGACTGGACACCATATGATCATATCCTCGATTGTGTTGGAATGTCGAAATGATGGAATAGGCCGCTTTCTCTGTACGGTTTCGTATGTTGTTTTACTCTTCTTTTTGTGTTGGTTGAACTATTTATGTTGCTTTATTGGCAGCTAAACTGCACTATACTCATAATTGATGACTAGAGGTTGACTTAATGTGCTAGCGCAGGGCTCAAAATTTCCACTCGCCCACTCGCATTTGGCGAGTGGAAATAAAGAGAGGGCGAGTGAAAATTCAGTCAGGCACGCGGTCACAGATCGCGTACCTGACTATGAGAGCCGCCGCTCCTTGCTGTCCTGTCCTGGCTCCGCTACTTTCGATCGATCACCGGAGCTCTGACAGTTCTGAGCCCCGTTCGCAAGGATGGATTAGTAAGGTCTGCAGACCTTACTGCAGAGAACGGAGCTCAGAACTGCAGAGCTCCGGCCGAAAAGGAACGGAGCCAGG